CTGGGTGGACCTGACTCGCCATCAAGTCCTTGTGACACTATAAGAAACGTATATAAGGAGCATTAACACCAGTAAAAGGTTTTGCTTTTCTGTTTAAGAAACTATAAACCTATTTCTACCATACAATCATGTTTTTAATCATTTGACAAGAACCTAAAGTCACTTCAGACCATTTGAAATTTGTATGTGTGTGTATTTTTTTTTTTGTTTTTTTTTTTTGGGGGGGGGTACCTGTATCTCTGGAAGCATTCCTGTATTGAAGGAAAAAATAAGATTTGCAGCTGCCCCTATAGTAGTAAATATCTTGCTTGCTTTTGATCCCGGAATGTTGTAATCCCTAGCAGGGGTGTTTATCCCCTACAAACAACAGAAGAATTATTAGAATGAGAATACACCATAGAGAAACCTTTCTAGAACTGATAATATACGAGTGAAAAAAGGAAGAAACACATAAACATTAAGGGGAATGTATTTTAGTCAATTTTTTAACTCTAAAACACCTTGAGGCATACCTTGAACATCATTGTCCTCATCCCAGATGAACCTCAAAGGAGAAAGTAATGAAATCTCAAAAGAGACTGTATTCAATTCACTGAAATTGAGCTTGTACAATGGTCTATTTATAGGCACTCCCAACTTTCCTACAATAGTAAAATTAGTAAAAATAATAAAACCCTAATTGGGCTAAATCTTTCCAAAACATTGTATTTTACTAAAAGACGACTTTCTAATCAAACTCAGACTCATAACAAACTAAAATGAAAAGGATGCCAAAGCTTACCATAAAATGAAAGTTTTTAGAAAAATCCCCCATTTGGAGACCAAAATGATGGAACTTGTCAGCATGTAGTGCTCATAAAGACTATCATTTTGACTAATGACATGTCAAAAATGGATGCCTGGATCAAAAATTATGGACATTTGAAGATTCAGCACCTGTTTTGGCCTCTTTTCTTCTTTTCTTTGTGATCCTAGGCCTCTAAAAACTTTTCAGCAACTTGTTCTACATCAAGGTGGAGGAGAAGAGATGAAGAAGTTTGAATGGTTTGTCAGGTGGGGCTAACTTTTGGGAATTGAGAAATGATGCCGGCTCATCCACTAGCATGTCCTCCCAGACTAAATCTCACACCTCTCCAAGCCCAACCAGCTCAATTATGACTTTGGCCTTTAAAAATATTAGATTGAAAGATAAACTTAAATGTCTCTTGAAGCAACCAAAAACCCCAATGACAGACTGGATTCGGTCTTCATGCCTCCAACATGCAAAAGAAAATCTTAGTGCTACTTAATTATATCAATTTCCAGAAAATCCACAATTCATTAGATTCAGGTTAAAACTATTAGAACCACATGGAAAGACCCTTTATTACAAAAATTAAAAAAAAAAAGACCCTTTATCTGATGCAAATTTGTACTTCAATTTTTAACACTCTAACACTCCTTCCATTTCTAATAGCTAAACTCAGAGGGCTCACACTATCCTCAGCCTATTTTTCACCATTCCTGTCTCTTGTTTACTAGTGCTTAAATATTTCTTTATTAACACTAGCTCATAATTATCTAAGTTTTCTCCATGTTTCTTTATTTCACATCTCTGTGCAGGAATCTCCATAGAATTTTGCTACCTTAGTCCAAGTGCAGTACTTCCCTTATATCCAAGAATGCAAATCCTGCTTAGAAATTAGAATCCAAAACAACAAAACAGCAACATACATGTTGGAAGAATACTAACAACCACAAGTCTTGCACTAGAAGTAGCACAGTGCCAGAGAGGCTGGGAATATCAGAACCAAATTGAGAAAACTGATTCAATATTGGAAGTACTAGAATCAGGTAT